TTTTTTTTTTTTTTTCACTCGCCTCGCGTTCTTCTCGCCTCCTTTTCATTCTTTTCCCCCCTCGTTTCGTTTCTATTTCTTTTATGATCGCGACGAAGAACGTAATCGATGACAACGCGCGACACCTCTTTCAGTGTTCTCTGGTACCTCGTATCAGGAAACTACGCTTCTTCTTCCTCGCCATTTTCGCATCTTCTTACGTTATTTTAAAGACGTTTAACCAACATACGCGTCTATTCTTACGATTGTATTCGCTTCATCAGAGATGAATCAATCGCTTCCCTTTCAAAGAATATCCGTTAAAAAACTATTGTTGGAAAAATCGTACAGAACAGCGTGCAATTCGTCAAATTTTGATCTCAACTTTACAACTATTTCGATATTATAGGGATTTCATAATTTTTCGCAATATCGTTTCTCGCACTGAGTACGCAAACAGTTCCATCTAGTGGGTTTTACGTCTACTATGTTACTATTGTTGTAAAACATAGGACGTTGCATCAGCGATTCGACCACGTGTTTCTCGATTCCTATTTTCCGTTATATTTTCAGTCTATACAATAATCAACGGTTAGGTGTATATCGCAATATTGCAAATATTGTGCGTAATCGCGAGGGTATATTATATCTTATTATAATTTCCGTGGTAGCGGCACTTGACGAAGGTACGCGAGGTGAGAGATAAGTGAGCCGAGTCCATTTACAGTGGCCGATGATTTATCGACCGTGGAACGTAAGATGTCGTTAATCGTTTCCCGTCCATCCTCCACTAATCACTTATATGTATAAGTGCGCATTTATATGCATTTATTATGCGAATACACGTTCGTGGGGTGAGCGATACGCTCGAATCGTTCGATCGTTCGATTGATTTAAGACGGCAGTAATCGAGTGGCCGAAAACCGAGTCGCGCTCTCTCCGCAGCTATCGCCGATATTTTCATATTTATGTGGAAGCGCGACTGAACGTTAAAGTCCTTCCCCTCCCCCCTCTCTTTCGCCGCCTCTTACATATATTTTCAGAGGGGTTTACGCCGTTACTAGAAGATGCGGGAGCACGAAAGGGGAACCCACGCTCCTCGCTACCAGAGGCTATTTGAGCCGACGTGCTTCTCGCTTGTATATCATATAGCCGCATTAACCACGTCGCTTCGGGTCGTGCTTCTCGACTACTCTAGTAGTCCGAAAACCGACCGTTACGTTTACATGGGATACGCGTAATACTCCTACTATCTTCCGCTTTCTTTTCTTTCTTTTTTTTATAACCATCCTTTTCCATCGAACAAATATACGAATCGTATTAAATTATTTCGAATCTTCGAAGAAAATCTCAAGGATGTTTAATTAATCATCTTCCGCTGTACACTTTATTCTCTCTCGATCTCTCTCGACGTCGAGTCGTTCGCCAAGATTGGTGAAGCAGGAGTATACACACGCTCTAGATTCGCATTAGATCTCGACGCGTGTTCCGAGAATATTCTTACCTTCCACGTTTCTTCGTACGCGAAAAAACGAGATGACCCTTGCGATGGCGATAGTATGGAACAACTATCCTACTTTCCACGCAACGATTCGATCATTTTCGTATCGAACGCGTATCTATTTTTCGCTCTCGTGTCTCTAAATCAATCCACTTTTCGCCCTTTTTGCGCGCCACGCGTTCGTTACGAGGATACAATTTTCTTTCTTACGCCGAAAGATATCGCTCGAGTAAGATATTAAAGGAGCCCTCCTCGGTTTTGCGTATAAATCACGTTCGCGTTTCTGCGAACGATCCTTTGAAGAAACTCGCCAAGGTCGAACAACTTATCGCATGATCTTGGATGGCCACTTGATTCCTCGGATGTAAGCCGAGGTAAAGAGGTACGAAAGTGGGTCTAAAGTGGTCGGTACTTATCTATCTACGGTTGGCGCGGAAAAGGGAAATGGAATCGAGGGACGAAGCGAGGAGAGGGGACGAAGAGAGGGTTCGAGGTTACACCCGTGACTCGACTCGACTCGACTCGACTCGATTCGAGGTATCGTCGAGTCACGAATCGTTGCGAATTCGTCGCAGATTTTACCGGTAATTTGCGGTAATATTATAATCAGCCCCTTGCTGAGCCCGAAGATATGCCGACCCCTCTGCTCTCGGTTAAATTGATGATCCGTGGAATCGGCTCACGAATATGCTCCATCTTATTCGGCTCGCCTCGCGCCATTTTACTCGGCGAACCCTCGAAAATATCTTTCGTTGCTAACACCTTCGAGTTGTTACATTATCACCGGTTATTATATTAATCTTTCGAGATAAACGGTTCCCTTAAATTTAATACCGTTCCTTCGTTTGAATATCGCCATGTGTTAACGATGTGTTAACATTTTG